TACTAATGCTTAGATGTTTGCACATGTGTCTTTAATCTCTATGTATCTGATTATTAATAGTCACAGTCGGTTACACTCAGATCCTTGATGCTTGAGTATGGATATAAAGTCATCAAGTAGATTTCATTGGTAATGTTGATAAACATTACCAATGAAGTAAATTTTTATACTTCCTCCTCAAATATGTCTTTTTTTAAAATTTGTTGATTTTTCTGTGTGTGTAAAATACAGAACATCCCACACAATCTTATTCATCTATATAACCACTTCCCAAATGGCACCCTCCCATAGCCTCCCCCCTCCCACATACTGGAGCCCATATACTCTGTCATCCCTGTTACTGTCCTCTGTGTTGTCGACACCCCCAGCCATTCTCCAGTGCTTGTCTGTCTGCTGAATCTAGTCAGCCTATCTAGAGATCCTTGTTTTAAGAATATCAGCTGTTCCTCATCTAGCAGCAATCAGTTGTCAATATTCCTTTAGATAAGATTGGGGTCTGCTGTTCATTTTCCCAGTTCTATGCTGGGTTATTGCCTGGGAGTCTCTTACACTATCTTGGCCAATAACTAAAAGGGAGGTATCACCTGTCTGGCATTGTTTCTTGTTATGTAGCCTTTAGCTATACATACGGACTCTTAAAAATTATATTGACCCCATTAATCTTTGGTTATACTTTCCTTTTGGGTGTTTAAGACCCTACAGTTGGCCCAGATAAAGCAATTTATTTTTCCATTTCTCCCTTAGTAATATTCTTCTCAAGTAACATATTTTTATCGTTATTTCTCCAGTGGTTTTTATAAGCTATTGCCATGTAGACACTCTCAGATTTTAAGCACAGGAATTCTAGCTCCAGTTTCCGTATCTGGAGAATCTTTCATTTTTATGTACCTGGTCCATCTTTTCAGAAAAATATGAACATTATTTTTTCAAATTACTAATAAAAATATACACATTGGATGAGATCATTAAAGAAAAAGGAAGAATTTCGTGAAGAGTAAATTGCACTAGAAGATACCACATGGCTTGTGGGATGGCCCCAAGGGACACTGGTTTTGAAGTGTTCTTCCTTCAGATGTGTTAGAGATGACACATAGAAGAGATGGTTTCACCCTACTGAAAATACTCACACAGGATCTGGGCATCTGAAGACCTGCTTGGGTGGGATGTGCCCTTTTGAAACTTCCTGTGTGGCTTGAGATTTGATCATAGATTTATTTCTCCATTTCCTATTTCAGAAATGAAGAGGATGCTCAGAAAAGAGGCCTGGCTGGCCATACACTCCATGCTGGCAGCAGGATGATGTTACTGCAGCCCTAGCAGGAGCAGGGGGAGCCATGTTCTACCTGGTCTCCATGTTTTTTAGTTTTGTTGCGGGAGAGAAGATCACAGGATTTTCTCATTCAGGTAGGGGTTTTCACTTTTTGTATTGACACTGTGAGACTTATGGTCAAACTCTGAAGATTAAAAAGGGGCTAGGAGGAGAATTGTTGGTCAGGACAGCTTTCAGCAGATACCAAGCGTGGATGGGGGAACCCAGGGACCACAGCTGGTGTTCAGTAGGAGCATCTGAAGAGGAATGAATGAAAGTTCATCTGTTGTTTGGAGGAAGTTAGAGCTCTGTGGCTAAAGCATAAGCTTTAGAACATGAGCTATTTTTGCCTATGAAATGGACAGTGACTAAGATAGACATATAGAGAACTTACTCCTTTGTTATATCAAGTGTTATCTGTAAATATTAAAGAGAATTCTAACTTCTAATGTATTTCTTTGTATTGTTTTGTTTGCTTTAATTTTCAGATTGCTTCACCAAAAAACTTCTTTGGACATACTCTGCGAGGAGTACTGAGAACACTGTCATATTTTGTGATTTACCAGAACTACAGAAATCACATTTCTCCCACAGAGATCAAGTCTCACCAACTCAAGGCCCTGCCCACCCACCCTGCAGTGGTAGCAAGAATCTAACTGATGTCCAGTGGTACATGCAACCTTGGGGTGGAGGTCCATTAGAGGAAGTCACTAGCAACTCTCCTCACTCTCGGGACAAGAGCACGCTGTACCTTTTGGCCTCAGAGATGGATAATTTGGGCACATATATTTGTAAACCCCGGATTAGGTATGTCCAGTCTGAAAATATTCTCAAATCTTCTCTTATCTAGACAAAACATCCATGCTGACAGGCTGTAGCTTCTCTCCTAGGCGCCCCCAGGATATGGCTTGCTGTATCAAGACAATCTTAGAATTTCAACCTCAGACAAATGTATCCTGTGGGAACTTGGTAGAACATAAACAAGACCTACTTATTGGTAGCACTGGATCCATTTATTGTCCCAGTCTTGGCTGCCAAAGTGGTATACAAAGTCCAGAGATGACCTGGTACAAGGTATGAACGAATTTTCTGAAATGGATGCATGAACATTATTTTTATAGTACTATTTCTATCAGTGCTTTATAGAATTGTGAGTTTAAGAATCTGGGTTCAGAGCTATGTAAGGCTGGTCTGAGCCTGTCTGTGTAAAAGACCAAAATTCCAGATGGTTTTGTCCCTATCGACCTCATATTCAGATTGATAAAACTATTCATTTCATCATTGTCAGGGGAAAATTATAACATTCAAGTATATCATACCCGTGGTAGGGTATAGGCTGACATCTGAGAACTCAGGCAGGCTAGTGCATATTCACTGTCTTTGGGGAGCTGTGGGCATCGATAAGGCTAGAGAAGAGAGCTCCCTACAGGAGCTAGAGGAGTGGAATAGTTTTCCTAACTTCCTAGAGGAGTTTGGAAAGCAACAGAGGAGTGGAATAGTTTTCCTAACTTCCTAGAAGAGTTCAGAAAGCGACAGAGGAGTGGAATAGTTTTCCTAACTTCCTAGAAGAGTTCGGAAAGCGACAGAGGAGTGGAATAGTTTTCCTAACTTCCTAGAAGAGTTCAGAAAGCGACAGAGGAGTGGAATAGTTTTTAAGAGAGGCCAGTTACAACATGGTTCTGGGTGACATGTGACCTGTACAGTGAGAAGTGGAGAGGGAGAGGGTACTAAGAGAAAAAGGGAAGGAGGGCAGCTTCATAATATGTAGTGTTAAGTAAAGCGGCAAACAAACACCAACAACCCTACTGAAAATACCCACACAGAATCTGGGCATCTGAAGACCTGTTTGGGTGAGATGTGTATTTCATAGTTTCACCATTTTATACTTTTTCTAAGTGCTTGCCCACACAAAAATGCTCACCCCACAAAGCCCCATCTCAATTAGCCATTAGTTATTGAGTATGGAAAGGGGACATATCTGTATATATTTCAGTAACTTTGCAGTCTAATACTTTGCCTTTAAGATTGTGCAAAAGTTGTAATTTGAGTTCTTAATGGGTATATGCTTGCTAATATAAACATGTTTTAAATTGTTGTGCATTATTATTGTATGTGTATATATAAGGTGTGCACGTAAGTGTGGGTGCACACATGTCACAGTGCATGTATGGAACTCAGAGGACAATCTTCCAGAGTTAATTCTCTCCTTGCAATTTTACATGCTAAGCTACCTCTTGGGCCCCCAAATGTTATTTTGTATTATCACTGATTGAAGTAAAAAAATAGGCCATATTTATTTGGTGGTTTCATAACATACAGTGAGACTTCTGGGTGACCAGCTATTATGATGTGAGGACATTTCTTTGTGAGAATCTGTGATGATGCATAGACAGGTGATTTTATATTCAGTACAGAAATCAGTACACACAGGGAGCAAATGATGTGGCTGTGGTCTCACATTTGTATTTCAAAATGGTGTAAAGAATGCTGGCCACAGTAACATTCTAGTTTAGGAAACATGCTAATTTCATAACTTCAAAAATGAGGTTACTAAAGGGATTCAATAGTTCTATTCATTATTTTCAGTTTTCTTTCAAAAGCAAAATTTCCTTTGCTTCAAAATATGTATAACCTGGGACAACAGACTTTCTACCTAGATGGACTCTTAGGATAATAAACAGTCTTTGTCCAATTATTTCAGCTAAACATGTGTTTATACGCTTAAAGATTGTGTATGTGAAGTTGACATTACTTGAATTTGAGGTTGACCACAAGCCATATAGTTGGCTCTCTGTATAGATTTTAGGGTTAAGCCCTAAAGCTTTCTGATAGTCTTAAGGGAAGCTTTGTTTCATTTCTCTGGGGGTTTAACAGCAAATGTCACAGTGTGTTTTGAGGTGAACAGTCAGCTATCCTAAACAAGGTAAACATGGCTATTGTTAAAACTGTGTCTTCTAAGAGATTTGGACAGATCCTGGTTCAGAGTTTATAGTTTATAAATTGAATTGCACACTCAAACACTTGCACACACATGCGTGCACACAGTGACCTGGATATCACAGACCAAGGCACAGAAATCCATTTCTAAAACCAATTACACTGAGCAGGAAATGACAACCATGGGCCCTTCCCTTCAGGCTACACCTCAGTTTTCACATAGCGGGGGTGGTTTGGTCACACCTCAGACCATCTCTAAACAGATAGACACTGGCTGAGAGGATACAAACATGGCATTGAATTCAGATGGCACTGCTGGCCAGACACACCGAGCAGATGATCAGGGTATCCTACTGAAACAAGCTCCTGGATTTGGAGTTCTGCAGAGTTCCCAAATATTTTTAAAAATTTTTTATTTATTTTTACTTTATGTATATGAGTGTCCTGCCTGCATGTATGTAAGTGCACCTGTGTCATGCAACGTGTACAGAGGCCATAAGAGGGCATCAGATCTCCTGGAACTGGAGTTACAGATGGTTGTAAACTGCCATGTGGGTGCTGGGAACTGAACCTGGGTCTTCTGCAAAAGCAGCTAGTGCTCTTAACCGCTAAGCCATTTCTCCAATCATGTCCAAACAATTTTTTATAAACACAAAAATTGGGGCTGGAGGAATGGGTCAGTAGTTAGGAGCAGTGGTTGTACTTGCAGAAGACCTGATTTCAAATCCCAGCACCTACATGGTGGCTAACAACCATCCATAACTCCAGTTTCAGGAGATCTGATGCCCTCTTCTGTTCTCCAAGGGCACTGTACAACACAGGTGCACTTACACACATGCAGGCAATACTCGCATACACATTAAAAAAAAAAAGTAAAACCCACAAAAATTTGGGGTTGTAGTTTCTTAAAAGCTGACTCAGCAGTACTTAACATATATGACAGAATGCATGAAATCCAATGGGGCAGGGGGCTATGAGGGTGCAGATAGATGAGGGTGTCTAAATTTGATTAAGATGTATTATATAAAATGCACAAAAATCCAATAAAAATACATATCGAGAAAAAATATTTTTACATATGACAGTTTCCTTACTTTTTATTTTAATGGTTGGAAATGTAAATGGGACTCTAGAGGGAGTCATTGTAATATTGTACATTTCCTTTTTTGGGGGGGTCTTTTTGAGACAGGGTCTCCCTGTAGCCCCAGCTGTCCTGGAACTCACTATGTAGACCAGGCTGGCCTGCAACTCACAGAGATCTGCCTGCCTCTGCCTCCTGAGTGCTGGGATTAAAGGCGTGCGCCATCATATGAGTGCTGGTTAAAGGCGTGCGCCATCATACCCGGCTGTACATTTCCTTTTTATTAGTAAAATAAAAATATTGTTTAATTAAATCCTAGATAATCCTAGATAATACTCAGTGAATCAAGAAACATCAGTACTTCAATCATAAAACACCACAAGTGTTGTTGTTATTTAAGATTGATGTCCTTTGTATAACTTGGATAAGAGGAGTGACTCAAATCATTGGGTAGCTAGAGCTAGAGTGAACGCAGCTGAAGTTACTTTGTTAAATACTCAAGCATGTTATAGAGACTTTTGTAGTGTTTAATTTGTTGTGCCTTAACATTTTTAAAAATTTTGTTTTGTTTTGTTTTTGAGACACGGTTTCCCTGCATCCCCAGCTAGCCTGGAACTTGCTATATAAACCAGGCTGACCTTGATCTCATAGAGATCTGCCTGCCTCTGCCTCCCCAGTGCTGGGACTAAAGGTGTGCAAAACCACACCTTGCTCATATCTTAACATTTTTAACATCAATAGAAACAGTAATCTAATTGGTTGTACCCAGTTTATATGTCTTTTTCCTTTTTCTTTCTTTTTTAATTGAAAATTTTCAATTTTCATACAGTATATTTTCATCATATCAGATCCTCTCTCCTATCAGCATTTCCCTTCCTACTCCCTGCCCAATTTAATGTATTCTATTATATACATAATATATAATATATTATATGTATTAGGTCTATACAGTCTAATTTGTGTCCCCAAGTATCCTTCAGTGTAGGTCCATCCACTGGAGCCTGCTTAACCTATCGAGAATCATACCTTTGAAGGAAACTGACTTTCACCCTCCCAGCAGCCATAGATTGCCAGTAGTTCCTCAGGCAGGGTTGAATTTGTTGTTTGCTTCTTTTGCACTTGCTGTGTGGCACATCCCACTAGAAGGGGCAAGCTTTATTTCCCCCACTCCGCTGATATAATGCTTGGCTATGGATTTTGCTTCAGACAGTGAAATATTTCTTAAAGATGAGCAGAAGAAGGAAATATGTTCGTGTGGTTTAGATTGGTCTCTTGCATTTCTGCCATTCACCATCAGAAAAGCATTTCAGAAGTGTCTATCCAGAATGTTGAAGACATGTTGCGTATATGAACTTGATGTCTGGAGTCCAGCTTGGCTTAGACAAGCTGGATCAAGATCAGCTTAACTGCAGCCTACCAACAAATATGTGGGCAAGAAAAATAAAGTCAGGGTTTTCAAAAAAATTTTATTGAGCTTTTGTGCATTTCATACAATTGATCAAGGGTCTTGATCATATTTAGACCCTTTCCTGTACCTGCACCCTCCCATTGCCTCTCACAATTCTCATGCATTCTGTTATATATTTTAAGGCTAGGTTGGGGTTTCTTACCCACTTCCCTATCTCTATACTGGTGTTTCGTCTGGTTTGACCTTATGTGGGACTTGTGCACTCTGTCACCATTGTTGTGAGTTCATATGAATAACTGACCAGCTGTCTGGAAAACCCTATTTCCTTGAAATCTCTTGTCCTTGCAATCTTTCCTGCCCCTTCCTTTGCAATGATTTCTGAACCTAGGGAGAAGTTTGACACAGGTGTTCTGTTCAGGGATAGGCATTCTGAAGCCACTTATTCTCTGTACGTTGGCCAGTTGTGGTTATCTGTGTTAATCACTATCTACTGCATAAGGAAACTTCTGTGGCGAGAGTTGAGAGATGCATTAATCTGTGGGTATAAAAATTAAATCATTAGTAGTCAGTTTAATGCAAATATAAAGAGATCATGGAGTACAACAAACTGTAAATCCAGAGGGAAACATATAGTCAACCGAGTTTTAA